TTCCTGTGTCAATGAAATTGCCTATTTTGGACATTTATAAAATAGCAAAACATGCGATCTTTTGTGTCTGCTATATTGTATTTAGCACAATGTTTCAAGTTTCATCCAAGATGTATCAGTGCTTCAGTGCTTAATTTTATTATTTTATTATTATATTTTTTTTTGGTGGAACGGGAGATTGAACTCAGGCCCTTGCGCTTGCCAGGGAAGCGCTTATTCCACTGAGCCATCTCCCTGGCCCCAAATAAATTAAATTTAAAATAATTCATTAATTAATTTAAAAGGGCTGGGGATGTCCCTCAGTGTGGAGACCCGTGGGTTCAATAGTGAGGGGTAGGCCGAGGAGATGGCTCAGTGGAATAAGCGCTTCCCTGGCAAGCACAAGGGCCTGAGTTCAATCCCCCGTTCCACCAAAAAAAACCCAAAACGAAACAACAACAACAAAAAATAGTGAGGAGTAAAAAGTTGAATAAAGAAACTTGTTTGTAAGTGTCGGCCTCCAGAGACCATAACTGATTTGGCTCTTTCCTCTGGCCCACTCACAGGCCCAGTAAATGTATGTCTAATTGGTGGAACTCCGCGCCACCATTATCAACAGTCAAGCTAATCTGTCGCCTGCAAAAACGTTTGACATTCTCATTTATGCCTAAACATCACTAGCCAGATAAATCCATACGGTGTGTGTGAGTGTGTGTATGAGCATCTCGCCACCACTCCAGGCTACCTTTTTAAAAAAGTCACATGATGTCAGTGTGATGTGGCTGCAAGCCAAGAAACCTCAGGCACCAGCAGAAGCTGGAAAAGGTGGGACGGCTCCTCCTTGGGAGCCTTCAAGGGAGCTGGATCTGGGATTTCTGGCCCGAGGGGCGCAGGGGCCACAGAGGGGAGGGCCCTGGAGGCCGGGCTTCGGGGCTCCGCTCCTCCTATCAGTGCCTGGCAGGCGTGCCGGCCTCGGATGCCCACTTCTCAGCGTGGGCAAGCGTTGCCCGTGGGTGTGGTCTCTCCTATCGGCTTCCTGCACGCTGGGATCCTCCCGGGCCCCCGGGCACACTTGGCCCCACGCCCTGCAGCCTTCCCCGGTTGGCTCAGCTCTGGACCTCCAGGTAGCAGCGCTCCGATCCCCAGTCCTCAGCCCGAGTCACTTGGTGCGAGAATGGAAGTGCTGCGGGACAGCCAATCGCTGCTGTTGCAACTTCCAAATATAGGTAGGAAAATAAAGCAAAAACAAAAGCACAAATATAGGTATGAAGGTCTCTCTCTCTCTCTCTCTCTCTCTCTCTCTCTCTCTCTCTCTCACGCATGCACGCATGCACACTATCAGAATATCGGCTCCAGAGGCCAGAGACTGTATCTGGGTTCTACGTCTGGGTAAATGCCTGGCGTACAGTAAGCGCTTGATGAAGACCTGCGCAACAGACGCATTAATGTTGCCTTAACCAAAAGTTGGCCTATGGAGGGCCTGAGAGGCAGCTTAGGCAAGTGCAGGGACCGGTACCACATGCCGTGCTGGCCCACCGCAGTGCGCCATGATCCGGCCACTGAGTCCAGGCGTGGTGGTACACGGCTGTAATCCCAGCACCAGGGAGGCTGAAAACAGGGGGATCATTGAGTCTAAGCTGTATACTGAGACCCTGTCCCAAATATGGTTTTTTAAATTTTTTTTTATTTCTTTAATTGGCTTATCAGAATGTCTTCTTTGAAAGGCAGTCTGGAGCAGGATACCGCGGTTCGATCCCCAGCTCCACCTGCCTTACCAGACCTGCCCTTCAGGCAGCTTGAGCCACAAAAAAAAAAAAAAAAAACCAAAACCAAAAACAGAAAACAAAAAAAACTTTGGGCCTGGGAGATGGCTCAGTAGAATAAGCACTTCCTGGCATGCACAAGGGCTGAGTTCAATCCCCAGCTCTGCAAAAAAAAAAAAAAGTCGTCTTTGCTAAGTATGGCGTTTTAATGGTTTTGCATGAACTATTCATACATACAGTAGTTTGTTTTGCTTTGTGATGCTGGGGATGAAACACAGCCTCGTGGATGCTAGGCATGTGCCTGCCACTGAGCCACACTACTAGCTCCTGACATCCATTGTCCTTTTTAAAAAAAAAAAGTCAATTGCTTCTTGGCCTTTTGGCTAAGATCAAGTGTAGTCAAAAAGAAAGTCATGGGGCTGGAGAGATGGCTCAGTGGTCTAAAGCACCTACTTGAAACAAGCTTGGCAAAGCACAGGGACCGCGGTTCGATCC